CAGGCCCGACTCGTGCAGAATGCCAATAGCAGATCTCCAGTGATGATTCTCAAGCACGGAAGAATTCTAACAAAAGAAAAACAGAGAAATGCAATTAAAAACAAAGAAGGCTTTTGTAAAGATAAAATAATGACATCTATGGATAAGTAATTTATGAAAAAAATACTACTGGATTGACCAAAAAGTAAATAACGGTTTAGTAATACAAGTTTTACTAATTAACTTATAGCTGGTGGGGTGAAGAGTTGGATTCACACCTTTTCCAAGGGTATTTGCACTTAAGTAAAACAAAACCAACAGGAATTGGAACTCAGCTCTCTGATTAACAATTCCAAGCCATTATAGATTACACCACCTGCACATTTAAGCTTACAGCACTGATATTCCCAAGCTGTCTCTATTTTGGACTGTAAATAAATATCTTATAAGTACTGCTTTTATTTTTTCTTCAATTCTGTTTTTGTGATTTTGATAATTATGGGTGCAGGAACCCACTGGGAATTAGAACTCAGGTCTCCAATTAACAATTCTGAGCTATTATCCATTACACCATCTGCACATCCAAGCTTACAGCACCTAGTATTCCCAAGTGGTTATCCATCTAGGTAATGACCAAGCTCAGCATTGCTTAACTTCAGTGATTGTATTTCAACATGATGTGGCCATAAGGTCTGATGAGAAAGAATGGTAAACTGGTTGAGCTGTTTTTAATTGTTATATTTCAGTGTTACTATTTTACATATAATTTTTGTTACCACCTCTTTTTGTTATGAAATGCATTTTAATAAGTCTGCTTTTCTTCTTCTATGTCATGCTCTTTCAGGATGTTAATGATCATGACCCTCCACAATTTCTTATCTTTTGTAGCTCTTCATAAATTTTGTCTTTTTGCTATCTGTCCTAAACCCTATTATGCTATCCATTTACACAAGCATGTTAGGTAGGTAATGAATCGTTTTCCTCAGTCTCTCTTGCCTGTGAGTATCAAATTTTCCAAGCCCTCTTTCCTCATTGTAAATCCTAGTAATTTCAGCTCTCGCTTACTGATGTTAAGTGTACATTTTGTTTCCTTTTTCCTTAAAACTTTGTCATTGCTCATGTTGTGTAGGAACCTACCACCCCTCTTGAAGATGAGCTCATCTACAAACAAGGACGTTAACTAGTGGCATGTCAAAAGACAGTGTAGAAGAAGTTCTGGGCTGAGTTAGTTATAGACTACTCAGGCGATATCTGTACCAACTTACCAACCGAATAAACCCCATTTTATTGTTACATGTTATTTGGCGTTTGTCTTTATTAACCCCAAATTAACATCATAACAGCTCAAATGTTCAGTCCATGGTATTCCTTCTGTAGAACTACATTTCTGTTGCTCCAAGTTTTTCTTCATGTGTGAGAAGATTGCCTGCCATCTACGTTAGAACGTTCGCTTTCTGACCATGAGACTGGGTTTAAATCTCATCATGGGCGATTTGTCAGGAAGGTAACTTCTTGATGTTATCGGACGAGGCAATCCCAGCATACAGTACCTTTGGAAAGTGCCTGAAAACCATACCATGGGTTGACCCAAGCTTTGTGAGTGAGACAGAACTATTTGCGAACCAGTGAGGGTTGTGTTAGCACAATGTCACAAGTCATCGTGACTGAAGTTTTGAATGTGCTAGCCTTGTTCAGAGTGTTGATCATGCTGGATAATGTTTTCTCTTCCAGAAACTGGAACTAAGGTCTGCTCATTATAGTTGAAGTATAAACCACATGTGTTTAGTGGGTGTTGAACAAACACAAATGTGCCTGAGCAGGCGTCTGCAATGGGGATTAGCTAAAATATACTAGACTGCGTCATTTACATTTTAGTAATTTCTCCAAAACAAAACTACTTTCTTTTAATCATTTTAGAAAACCTTTTTTGCCTTCCATCATCATGGCTCATGCTAAGCTCCAGGAGACTTCTCGGTCTCACGTTTTCTACCGATATGATATAGAAAGAATATACTGAGTCAATAATTAAGCCTGCTGCTATGAAAGTTGGTACACAATCTTTCCCACGTGAATCTGTCTTGCACAATTATAAGTGTACCATTTATCTGTGCATTGAATATTGTTACTACATCTGATCTGGTGTGTCTGCCATATAGCCAGAGATTCTTAACAATATCCACCCCTACAAAAAATCTTTAATGTTACTTGTTCTGACCTGTGATCTTTGATTCAATCACTTTCCCATCATCCTAACCTAGCATTCCTTTACCTTTGCTATGAATATTTTCATGGTTATTTTTCTAATGAGCTTTCCTCTCTTGTACCTCGACTTCATGAATTTAGGCCTGAAACTAGATTGGCAACTAGGTCTCATTATCTTGCTGTTGAAATTGTTGAATGCTACCATGAGTTCTATTCTAATAATTTTTTCTCTCACACTTTTCACCTCTTCCATCTTCTTGCTTTCCTGTCAAGAACAACCTTCAAAAATAAAGAACTCTAAAAAGAAAATGGCTCAACCATGATGAAATAAGATAAAAAAAAAAAAAGAAAACTCACATCATACAGAGATGCCAAAATATTTGTTGTTGCAATCAAATATGCCTGGTTGACCCCTGGATGGTAGAGATCATGCATCATGGATGCAAACAGGGCTGCCATGGCTTCCATTGGATGAATACAGCAACTTAACTGAAAGAAAAACACAAGTTTATTTTTTATTTACATTATTTATAGTCAGACTAATTAAAAAAGAAGTGGTAGCAAAAGGAGTCAAGCTTGACATCAAGGGTGGAGAAGAATCAAAGAAGATAATAAAAATATGAGTCTTAACACTTCAGGATTTTCCACAGAAAAAAATAACCTTGTGGATTAAAGCATTTATAACGGCAGAGACTGGAAGAAAGATTTATTCTTCCATTTAATTTCCCCCATTACATGCATTATTATATCTGTGTTATAACACTGTAGTTCACGGACGAAACGGAATGGCTGAAAAGAAGAGGAATAACAAACATGCCTTGTTCTCAAAGAGACTTTCATACTACTAAGACATACACAAAACTATATATGCATATATACACATGTCCCACACAAAGAAAATAACGTATCTAAACAGCAATGTAGAGTGTAAGGAGAAACAAAAAGGAAGGTTCTTACATATAATATGGAGATACTCCTGTGTCTGGAGAAGCCATGTTTAAGACTGGATTTATCTACTATGTCCCATGCAAGAAGATATTCCACAAAAGAGAAATGGCAAGTCTTGGGTTTTCCCAAATTGAGGACTGCAAGCCAGAGTTTCTTTCTGTATTTGGGAAAGATATATTCCCAAAAGGAAATGGTACCATGGACTTGTAAGCTGCTGGGGAGGCAGATTTAACCTCTGCCCTAGCTGTGAAGTGGGGACCCTGGGCTAAAGAAAGCAACCTCTTGGGTTGGCTGTTGTAAACTAACTGAATGAACTGGCCACTCTCACTGTATGAAGTGATTTCACTAAGCAGCTGTCATGTGACCCATGTGACTTATCGCTACCAAAGGAAGGTAATCGCCTTCTGTATTCCTACACATTATTTTGTGAAGTTAATGGCATAGTAATTTTAAGTTCAATCCCTGGGCCAAGCAGACTTAGATTAGGAATAACCAAGTATTACCAAAAAAAAAAAAAAAAAAAAAGATATCACCAAACATGGATAGAAAATAGATTTAAAAAGTATTCAGTTTAAAATTCCCTAAAAGATACTTGGATTGATAGACACCAGAAAAAGGACAGAAGGTACAACTGTTGAAACATTGTAGCATTAACAAGAGAGATGAGGATATTAGTCTGTCTATAAATAATGATAAATCTTCATCAAAAAGAGATCCAGATAGACATATTTTTTTTGTTTTTTCTATCCAATTTTTAAACATTTACAATGAGATAAAATTGAACATTGCATTATTAGAAACACTTAGAAACGATTGAAGACAAAGATTAAAAGGAAAAAACAGACATTTTACTGCTTTCTGAAAAAATATTGGACTGAGATATTTCTGCATGTTATCAAGTGTTTACATTTTTTACAGACTTTTACTAAAAAGATTATTTCATGTAAACATCTAAAGATTATACCTTCTTCATATTTATTTATTATAACAATTATGATTAAAGTGACACAAAATGAAAATGATGTTTCTTTTTTTTGTTTTAAATCATTTTGCCTCAAGCAAGGTGGGAATGCCACTAGTATGCAGCAGTCATAGAGAGTGAAAGGGAGAGAAAAACTGTGTATAGTGGGGATTGAGGAAAGGATAAAAGATGAATGAGATTCAAGAAGACAAAAGATGGTGATTGACATTGCATTTAAATTTTTGAAGATTGCAGTTTTCAGGGATGCATATTAATCGAAGGGAGTTTCACAAGTGAGAAGTGTGAGAAAACAGTTGAAGTAGAAGTGGCAGTTACATTTAACTATTTCAACAGTAAAAGGGGTGAGATGTAGCCGAAGTCTTCACTTGCACATAAGTACACACACACACATATATATATATAAACTATAAAAGGCTCAAACACTAATATTCCATGGTTATAATTTATTACATTGGAATTGTAATCACAATCAAATCATAAGACCTACAGATTCAAAATTTTTTAATTTGTAGGTCTGATGATTTGGGTCGTGATTACAATTCCAATTTAATAAATTATAACCATGGAATATTAGTGTTTGAGCCTTTTATATATATTCTTACTCTGTCTTGGACACTGAGTTCTATCCTCTTGGGAATATATATATATATATATATATATATATATATAGACCACTAATATTATACAATATATATATATATATATATATATACAGACCACCAATATTATATATTAGACCACTAATATAATATATATATAGACCGACCACTAATATTATATATTAGATATATAGAAATATTATATATATATATATATATATATATATATAGACCACTAATATATATATATATATATATATATATATAGAACGCTAATATTATATATTAGACCACAAATATTATATATATATATATATATATATATATAGAACATATATATATATAGACCATAATATATATATATATATATATATATATATATATATATATATATATATACCACTAATATTATATATATATATATATATATATATATATATAGACCACTAATATATATATATATATATATATATATAGACCTATATATATATATATATATATATAGACCTCTAATATATATATATATATATATATATATATATATATATAGAATATAATATATATATATATATATATATAGACCTCTAATATTATATATATATATATATATATATATAGACCTCTAATATTATATATATATATATAGACCTCTAATATTATATATATATATATATAGAATATTATATATATATATATATATATATATATATATATATATATATATATATATATATATATATATATATATATATATATATATATATATATATATATATATATATATATATATATATATATACACACATGCTGAGGAAAGTATTGAGAGAATATTAAACTGATGAAGGAAGAAAAAAAAAGAATAAAACTCAGAAATAGGATGGCATAAAAAATTGAAAAGGACAAGAAGGAAACAACAAAAAATAAAATTACAAAGAATAACAATCAAAATTTTTCATTTCATTGATACCAAATGATACATTTAAGACTGGCGAAGTCATCTGGTGGGTTCTTGAATGAATATTAAATCAAGAAAGATTTGGTGATGCCAACTTTGAAACTGGGACCGTGTACAGTTATCTCTGAGGCTGAATGGTCTTGGGAGTAGGGACATGCTGAAATCTCCAATTTGGACCTTCCATTTATAAATGTACAAGATGGATTCTAAGGATAAAAATTTTCTGGCAAGACACAGTAGCTGTAGCAATTGGTTCCATATAGTAACTCCACTTCATGGAAAATGCGAACCCAAGAATGCTTAGAGTGTAGTTCTCCTGGAGTCTGGCTTCCTGTGGTAATTAAATTAAAAATTTCCAAATACAAATATATACAAAGCACTACATACACAAAATGACATCCACTTTGAGAAGGGTATAATAGGCATATGCATTACAACCAGATGTGTACAATATAGTAACAGGCTTTGATAAAAGTACAGTGATAACTTGAAATGACGTAAGCTGAGGTAAGTCATTTTCAAAGATATGTCAGTTTTTCTTAAATATTATACGGAAAAATAAAACTCGACTTAGGTCATTTTACTTGAGTTTATATTGGCCCTTAAAAATATTAGAAATTTCAAAACACTAAAATAACTATAAACACATATAAAATTATATTCAAATAAATTTTAAAATATTATTATATATATAAGTTATGAAAAACTTGGTAATCCGTATGGGTAGTCCCAAAGAGGATGAAATCCTGAGAGCTCAATGTAAATCCAGAGCTAATATTTTAAAGAAAAACAGACTACTTTAAGGTTCCATTATAATAATTTATTTCACCAGAGTCTTTTTAAAGGACGGTTTTTCGTTTCATTTTTTGGAAGTGCTATCTGATGATCCGGCGTCCTTTAAAAGGACTCTGGTGAAATAAATTTTTTAAACATAAAAATGTCTTAAAAAAAAATATATATATATATATATACACACACACATACATACATACATACACATTGCTCTTCAGTTATGAATTGAGTGCTTTTAGCTACTGGCATTTGTATACATCATGTATATAATACATTAAAAATTTACCTTTCTCTGCCATGCAGCGATAGATTAGAGGTAGAATCTCTGATGTCAAATCAGTCAAGTTTTGATCCCAGATTGATGCAATCAGATGTATAGCCACACTGCTGAGCTGTGATACAGCAAAACAGGCTTGTATGTGGATGACTATTAATCAACTCACCCCAAACAAGGATCTACAGGAAGTGAAAAAGAAGTAGCCAGAAACCGAACAATAGTAAAAAGATTTAGAGTTTAAATAGAAACTTTAGAGGTATAGAGTTGAAGCATTCAGATGTCTAGCCACACTGATGAGCCGTGATATAGCAAGACAAGCTTGTATGTGGATGACTGTATATATATATATATATATATATATATATATATATATATATATATATATAATGGCTGATTACTTGTTTCCAATCATACTTGTATAAATAGGCATCTGCTACAAGTCCATTTGTTCAGCATCCACAGAGCCCACCTGTGGTTTATACTGCAAATATGCTGAGCTGACCTTAGTTATAGTTTCTGGGAAAGAGAGCACAAAATCTGTCATGATCAACTGTTTGAACCAGGTGAGTACACTCAAAGTCTGGGTCAGTTCTGTCTAACCACTTTCACTCGCAACACAGCAAGTGCTGACGTGATTTTTCCAAAGATGCCACAGGCTGGGATTGCATCACCAAGTCTAATTTCATGAAGGTCAAATACTCAGCAAATTGACCTTAGTCAAATTTAAAACTGGGACTCATAGATGGAAAGAGAAAAAGTTTCTAAGCACTTAGCCCTCTGCCCATAATATACATATATTATTTAAATAAAAGTAATAAATCAGATTTCAGAATAGGTTCCTTCTTAAACCATTTGGCCATGTTCTGACAAGAGACACTTGAGAAACAACTAAAAAGTGAAGCCTTTTTATCTTTTATCTTTTGATGATTTCCAATCAAACAATGTTGCCAACTCACCTTCTGCTCCTTCAGATAACAATGCATTGCTTGAGTGACATCAGCAGCATGAATTACATTATGATATGGATTGTTCTCATGGTAACCTTCCTCAACTAAATCTGAAACCAAAAACAGAAGAAATACTTTATTGATAATATGACAAATTTATAGTAGAAGCATGTTAAATATGGCAGCCAGGTCTTTTGTAAAATGTTCTTAAAAATCAGAGAAAAAAAATTAGTCATCCATGAAAATATTACCCAGACAAATTTGGTTTTCAGAAATGTTATGTAAATAACAAAAAATGGTTGATTTGGATAATAGTATAAAAAGTTGATTAACCTAGGCAAAATTTTATCGAAGCCTTTCTTTTGAATTGGTTATGAAAATTTTAAGCTCAAGCCTTTGCCTAATCAGCTGGAGGTCGAGAATACATGACTGTATCCCCATGCAAAGGAGTAACACCCACAAAAAGGGACCAGTATCTACGTTTCAGTCAGTTATGTGCCATGCATGATACATACTTAGATGATCATATATCTTTCGGTACATGACTGATGAGGCAAATATTTCCTGCAGTAGGGTGCCATTTCTTTTTGCAGTAGACCAGTTGCCATCCAATGCTATAGAACCTGGTCTGTCTTGCTATTTACCCATAGTTGGAGGGAGAAGAGGATTCATACCTTTCCGAAGGGTATTAGCACGTAAGTGAATGTAATGGATTCGACTGGAATTCGAACTTGGATCTCCGATTCTGCAGTCTGAGATGCTATCCATTACTCCACTGTGCTTCTTCTATGTTTACTTTTTTGATTATTATGCAAACTAAAGTTTCTTTTTACCTATTTTTGTCTCTCAAGCAAACTGGGCCTCTGGCAGTAAGAGAAATAAATAAGTCGAGATCTCATCAATTTGCAGTTGGGCTGGCTGTATGCAGCTGTAATTTCTATTCTAACAGTTTCTTCTCTCGTGCTTCTCATGTATCTTGTATTCCCTGCCATCTTCAAAATTGTACAATACAACGCTAATCAACATTGTCATGGTTCAGAATGGTGATGCTATTTCATCATTCTAAAAATACCCTTGCCATCAGTGATGATAGAAAAGAAGGATATTTCATCATCCCTGAAATAAAGATAAAAAAAACTTCATCATCCTAAAAAGAACCTTGCCACCAGTGATGAAATATTTCATTTTTATTTCAGGGATGATGAAATATCCTTATTTTCTATCATTACTAATGGCAAGGTTATTTTTAGAATTAATATGTCCCGGAAAGGGATATATTTAATCAAAGTAGCTAAGTGGGTTTGGCTACTGTAACCAAGTAGTACACGGTAGCAGTAATCGACTGGTACTTGTCTTAGTCACAGGTAATAGGTGTAGACTAATAGGATAGCCAATGGCATAGTCCAATGGGCGTCGTCATAGACTTAAACTCTGTCGTACCTACACGTCTGTCTGTATTTATGACTGACACCAGCCAATCATATTCCAGTGAGGTGGAACTCAGGTGTATGCATATTCCATTATATCAAAAATGATGAAATATGATCATCATTCTGGATCATAACAACATCTTCTGTCTTCCTGAAACCTGTCCTTTTATTGTCCTTTCTTCTTAGTAAGTCTTCTCATTTTCTTCCACTCTCAGTAACCTCTTGTGTCTCAGTGGCATTATTGCCTTGCTTGGGGTGAAATGATTAAAAAAACCCTGAAAAGAATGCTTTTTTTCAACTTCAATATAACTTAAATTATTTAAGCACAATACTAGACTGGTGATGAGGACTTATGAATTTACAGTTAAGCTGACTAGATAGAACTGTAAGTTTTACGCTAATACTTTCTTCTCTCACATTTCTTTTCTGTGGAACTCTCTTCTGGCTTCTTGCTTCCCAGCCAACTTTGATCTTCAAAAATTTAAATGCAATATCGATCGTTATCTACTGTCCTTCTAATTACTCTTTCCTCTTCCCACTCATTATTAACGTTTCTGTTCCTAATTCTTTGACATCCAGTATCCCCTTGTGTCTCAGTGGCTTTACTGCCTTGCATGGGGGGGGGGATACCGATTTAAAAAATAAAATTTAATTAAAATAAATAGTCAACAATAATCTTCAAAAATGTAAAATGCAACGTTAATCAACATCTTCTGTCTTCCTGAAACCCATCCTTTTATTGTCCTTTCTTCTCAGTAAGTCTTCTCATTTTCTTCCACTCTCAATAAGCGTCTTACAGCTATTTAAGCGCAATACTACACTGGTGATGAGGACTCATGAATTTACAGTTAAGCTGACTAGATGTAACTGTAAGTTCTATGCTAATGGTTTCTTTTCTAACACTTCTCACTTGTGGAACTCCCTTCCAGCTCCATGCTTTCCAACCAACTTTAATCTTCAAAATTTTAAACGCAATATCAATCACTATCTACTTTCCTGATTACTCTTTCTGCTCATTATTAATGTTTCTGTTCCTGATTCTTCTATACCCTGTAATTCCTTGTGTTTTAGTGGCTTTACTGCCTTGCAGGAGGTGATACAGATTTAAAAATTAAAATTAAATTAAAATAAATCTGTTTTTTTTTCATAATATGAAAAAAAAAAATAAATAAATAAAACAGGAAATTGAAAGGTCTTAAGCAGAATTCCAAAATGAGGCTCTTCCTCCTTTCACCTTCGCTGGGATCAAATATCAATGTATGACTTAATCCTGAATCCCAAAATGAAATCAAGCTGACGATATTCAGTCCCACCCCCACGAGGGTGTCACGTGACACAAGGCCTTTTTAACGTGGGCATTCCGAGCCTGTGGGCTCAGCCAAAAATATGCCCATTGAACCCATATAAACGGGTTCAGGGCCGGTCTACCTCCCCGAAGTAGACTCCGCCCTTTGGCATAGCCTCCTTCGGGTTCCTCCCGTCCGTAGGAAGAGAGTACAACTGAAAAGTCAGTTCAGAGTTGAAATCAAGCTGACAAAAGCATCTATTGACTCTTACTGTACCTTCACTTAAACCACAGTGACCTTCATCCCTATTTGCATATAATTGCTTGTAGTCAAAGAAAAAAAAAACCTGACTTTGCTTTTGTGAATTCCTGTTGTAATAAAGAAAGTTTACTATTTCTCTCTGTGTTTGCGAATTGTGGACATTCTATGAATCAAAGAATTACATTACACCCACCATAGACCTATGCCTACCTTTTTATTGTTTATCAAAATGACAGAATTTGGCATTACATAAGTTACTGGAAAAGGTTGATATGCCTTAAACCAAACTGAAGACTGACATTTCCAACTTTGCAATTAATAATGTAATTTGTAATTAGTATACTTCAACATCTGTGAATCATAATTAAGCCGAAGTATGTCAAATATAATAATCTCTATTTCCCACAGACATGAAAGATAAATGCTTGAATTTGCTTGCATAAAATTTAACCTTTCTCAAAAGCATTCAGAAATAGGTATATTAAATTCAGGCAAATCTTATATTTGCAAAAATTCATGCAAATTTTATATTTATAAAAACGTTACAAATCTTTATTTTACAAAAATTTCAACAGTGCATTTAGCCAAAAATTTAGGAAATATCTGTAGAATGATACATTTATTTCTTTTATCAATATCAATCATTTTTATTTGTGTACCTATTACTGTTAAAAACAATCCGTCAAGTGTGTTTCTCTTTCTGTTGTCATATTGGCGAATCCTGGTTTTTTGTTAAGCACTATCTTTTTAAGAATGAAGCACTAACTGAAATATTTTGGCATTTAAACTTGTCTTGCCCACTAAATAAAAAAAATAACTTTTTTTAAGGATTCACTCTGGGACCTGTTATATCAATAAACAGGTATATGTACATCTTTTAAATATTCACCCCATTGAATTATATAAATTAAAAGAAATGTACATTATTTACATTATTCGGACTATTGTCCTCATCTTTGTCGCCATATTTATCACAATGTTTTGGCTGTTGTATGCTCCGGCCTTCTTCAGGTGGTTGGAATGTCGAACTGAACCCTTTATTTCGCTCACTGGGGTAGACTGTTCTAGTTCCACGTGCCATGTTTGATGGATGTCAGTTATCAGTTATCTCCTGTTAATTCCCCTTTGAAAGCTCTCCACTGACTTAACCACTGTGCATAAAGGTGTTGGTTAGATCCAGTGACAGGACCCAAAGAGTGTGAGTTCAATGCCTGGTTAAGGCAGTGGAGAACTTTCAGAGGGAAATTAGCAGGAGATAACTGATAACTGACATTGATCAAACATGGCACATGGAACTAGAACAGTCTACCCCAGTGAGTGAAATAAAGGGTTCAGTTCGAAATTCCAACCACCTGACGAAGGCCGGAGTGTACAACAGCCGAAACGTTGTGATAAATATGGCGACAAAGATGAGGACAATAGTCCGAATAATGTAAATAATGTACATAATACCTCATCTCAGAAATATAGACAGACTCAAAAAGAAATGTGTTTTTAAGGATTTAATGTGGGGTCTTTTTTCTTATTAATTCTGCTAAATATGTAATGTTTAAGAATTTAATCTGTGGTCTGTTATAAAAAGAATACCCAGGAGGGGAATATATTTAATCCTGTCTATTATAAATTGGTAGATTCTAAAAATACCAAGTACATTAACTAGTATATATTGTATATATGTGTGTGAAATTCATCAGAGATTAAAATGCATCAACAAATAACAGCCAAGAAAGACTTTTTTTTACTTACTTAAACATCTCATCAGTTTCATAATATCAAGCTTGAAGTAATCTAAAAACCCATATTCTTGGAACAAATGGAGGGCAAGATGGAAGAGTGGTTTGCCTGAAAAAGTGAAAAAAATAGAAATAAAAACAGAATTAATTTATTAAAGTATTTATGTTCATTTTATATCCATAGCATAATTTCTCAAAAATAATACGCATTTTTTTACTGTAATTTACAGGTGATACTGGGGGTGCGTATTATAAATAGGTTTAAACAAAAATATTTTTTTCGTTATTGATTTATAGTAATAAATACGTACTTGTTCTAAAATAAGAAAGATATCCCAATTTTCATTTTAAATCCAACAATAATAATTGTAAGATTTTTTGTCAATAAATTTATGTTTATCAGTAGCCACATTTTTTATTTGGTTAAAAAATCTATAAAAAGTCCAATTTCGAAGAAAAGAGGATATCAATTTAACAATTTATTGAAATTTTAATTTTCATCATCACCACTTTCTATTATAGAATCAATATCTAAATTGTCATTAAAGAAATTATCATTCACTCGCAGGTTTTGACAACATTTTGGTGGTAAAATAAAATGTTATATTTATCAGGAAAACCGCACAGTAATTTTCAACATTATTTTAGCCACTTAGTTTTGATCTTATTCTTAAACTCAAAGTCGACAAAATGTCTTCGTAATTATATTTTTTGACAAAATTTGTAGATGTGTATTATACATAGGGATAGATACATTTCTTAACTTTTGGATTTGTTGGGGTGTGTATTATTTTTGAGTATATTGCACACCAGATGCTTTTTCAGTGATGTCTATTCTGGTATCATAGAAAGTTTCAGACCTCAATGACATCAGATTTTTTTTTTTACCCTGGGCCCAGTTGAAAGGAATCATTTCTTGATTAGCATTCTGGCATAACTTCTGCATGATTGCAAGAATTGTAACAATATCTGTGCTTATGTAAATGAGATCCTTTAATTCAATCCTATATAGGAATTCTGTCCAATCAAGATTTGTTTAATTTTGATTATTGGTGTTTTGGCCAATCAGAGGGGTAGATTTGGTGTCTGTACTAGCCAGCCCATGAAATAAACACAGAATTATTATGCCATCAAATTCATGAACCAACACATTTTTTTAAAATCATTTCACCCCAAGCAAGGTGATAATGCCACTATGATGCAAGGAGTTATTGGGAGTAAAAGAATATGAGAATACTTTAATGAGGAGAAAGGAGAATAAAATAACAATATTCAGGAAAACAGAAGATAATGATTGGCACTGCATTTAAATTTTTGGAGGTTGTCAAAACACAGGACACAACAGTCTACTGATGGGAAAATTCTGCAGGTCCTTCTGTATTGGGAACTGGTCACCAGCAAGAAGACACAAGGGCAACCTCATCTACATTTCAAAATTGACATGGACATCAAGAGGTGGTAAGATGTCGCCAATGACCAATCATGCTGGAGACTTGATTTACACTGAGGGCTGGAGAGAAGAAATGAAAGCTTGCCACCAGGGTGAAGCATACTTGAAGGAAAGAAAACAACACAGTGACATCAGAGGTGAGAATCTTCACATGCATTCACTGGAATGGAGACTCTCTCCTGTGTGGGACTGTACCTAACAGATACTGTGCTGCCATCAGCCACTGAGGCATAACTCTTTGGGTGCAGATCCATGGTCTCTTGAGACTGATGGATGCCAAATGGTGAGACCTAATTGCCAATCTAGTATTATACTTAAATTCATGTAGTCGAGGCTCCAAGGAGGACAGCTTGTCAGAACAATTGCCATTAAAATATTTGTAGAAAAACAAAGGGAAGCCACATCAAAGCGATGGGAAAGTGACTGAAGATGAGATGCCAGGTAGGATTGATTAATTACATTATAAACTCTCCAGTGGATATTGACAAGAATCTCGAGATATATTGTCAGATCAGATATGACAGCAATATTCAATGCATGGATGAGTGGTAGATTTATAAATGTGCAAGATGGATTCTAACAAGTAGAAATTGTCTGGCACAGTGAACCAACTTTCCTGGCAGCAGATCTAGCAATTGATTCAGTATAATGACTTCACTTCATCTCAGTAGAAAATTTGAGCCCAAGAAGGTGCAAAATGTTGCTCTACTGGAGGTTAACATCAACCATAATGATAGCAAGCAGAAAAGGTTCTCTGTGGTGATCAAATGAATGCAGTTTTATTTTGGAAGCATTAAAATCTATAAGCCATTATACCCCAGTTAACCACTGATTGGAGGAAATTTTCAAGAAGAGCTCCCTGTCTTATTTCGATGGGCCTGTCAGACTTTAATTTGCTAGGCTATTGTCTTATGAAATATTGTAATAATAACAACAAAAATGAGGATATCAGTCTGAATGGAAATAGTACAAATAAAAACTCTTCATCCCAGAAATTTAAACACAGATTATAAATTTTTCTCTGATTTTTCTTTATCGTATTTTTGCTACAATGTTCTGACTATTTAAAGCAATAATCTGAGAATATTTGACATTCTATGAAAATTTTTAGTGAAAAGCAATAGTTTTGAAAAGTCTATACAAAATCAGTTGTGTAAATGCTTCATATCAGAATTCAAATAATTATGAATTTAAGTGTGCTACTTGATTGGCAGTTAGGTCTCACCATTTTACTGTCGAACTAGCTAGATGCAACAGCCACTTCTATTCTAAAAGTTACTTTGCTCGCACTTCTCACCTGTGGAAATCCCTTCCGATTTCTTGCTTCCCTGATACCTACAATTTTCAAAAATTTAAATCCAATGTCAATTGCCATCTTCTGTCTAACTGAACCCTGTTCTTTTATTGTCCTTTTCTCACTAAAATATTCTCATTCTCTTTATCTGTAACCCTCTTCATTTTTTTTTCTTTTTCTTTTTTTTTTTACAATGATGTTCACCCTGTACAACAAGGCCTGGGAGTCAATCTTACCACTCTTCTGAGGATGATGCTATCAATGTTTTCTAAGACCTGTAGACAGAACATCATTGCAGAAGAGATGCAATAAAAAGATGAAGACTAGCCAAAAGTTAATAGCAAAAAATAAATTTTAAATATTCAAATAATATAAACTTGTGAGAGAATTGCAGAGGAAACCTGCATATTGTTCTTGTATCAGGAAATGGTGTCATTGATTTAACATACAAGATTTTTAAAGGGAAACAAAAGTAGATTTATGCAATTATACTAAATACTTAATGAAAAAGATGAATCCTGTTTACTTATCAATAATAGAGAAGAGTTTATTTTTATAATATACAAAGTTTTTAGTTGGCAAAAAGGTTTCTGTATAAAAACAAACTATTTACGGTAAATTGTGGCATACAAGTCAAGTTTTCAAGCCTAAAAAAGTATTTCCAAAACTAGGGGTCAACTTATATGGTGAGTATAAAATGCAAACAAGTGGGGCAGTACTCGTAAAAATTACTGTACACTACTTACTCTACTTCCAGCAGGCTGTCACAAATATATCCTACTAAAACTTGTGTTTGGTGAGTATATTTGGCATATTAACACAGAAATAATATAAAATAATTAAATAGTAACACAAATTCAGTATTCTTTTAATACTACAGCACACATCGCATCCAACAGCCGATACACTAAATATAAACACTGACCGAAGTGGTGTATAATTCAGGTGACCATTCAGGTATGGTATGTGTGTTATTTAGTCAATTTCATGATAGCAAGGACAGTAATATTTTATAGTTGTTGATGCTGACTTTAATGTGTCTATCAGTAGACATGATGAATTTTAAAACTTTCCTAAGTTATCATGATACAATATACCATTAGCTACTGGTGTGTGTTTTAGGTTGTTTGCTATACAACACACATAGAAAAATATTATGGTTAGTGTCTGAATATAAAGTTAAGTAGTGTGACCTTTATGTACTTTTTGCACAGGTAATCATATACTGTAACCTAACTTCATTTACCATCAGGCCTAGGTTTTGAACCTCTGGCAGTCTACAGAATGTTTAGCTTCGACCTATAAGTAGGTATAAAACTAAATCAGAATTTTGACTTGTATGCCACAATTTATGGTAAATATCATTGCAAAATTATTACAGGTTGACTTAATATGGCGGTTATAAAATGGAAACATCTACCACTGAGATGTAAACAAATTGAACAGCACACTTAACAATTACTGTACACTCACTACTGTACTTTCAGCGGGCTGTCACAAATATATCCCACTTGTGTTCGGCGAATATATATATGGCATATTAACACAGAAATTGATATAATAAAATAATAACATAAATTCAGTATTTGATTAATACTACAGCACACACTGTGTTCAACTGCTGAGTATAGGACTACAAATACATTAACACTTCAATGGTTTACTGAGTTGTTGTTACCAGTAATGGCCTTATTGATATGTCTATTGTAATAGGGGGTCTCATTAAAAGTCTGAGAGTCTAACCTGTATGTCAATAGTATAATGGATGCAAAGTTTTGCAGTTTGCTGCATGAGGTTAGGGGGCATCTCTAATGCAAATGGGGGGTTACTGTATTTTATAATAATATACAATGCATAGCAGTAGTATCAAAAACTTATCTGGTATGATGTGTAATCTATGGTATTAATATTTTATAGGAGATGATGCTGATATTAATGTGTTTATCAGTAGACTTGAAGAATTTTAAATGTATGCTAAGTTATACCGATACAATATATGTTACCAACTGGTGTGTGTTGTAGGTTGTTTGCTATACAATCCATATAGAAAAACATTATGGTTAGTATTACAATATACATTTAATTGATATGACCTTATGTACTTTTGGCAAAGGTTATCATATGCTGTAGCCTAACTTTATTTACCAGTAGGCCTAAGGTTTGGGCGACTGGAGGCCTACCATATTTTTTTTACTGGTGTGACAATGTCAGGATTGATAATTTAAAATTGAAGAAAAATTAAATTAAAAAAGAAAGAAAAAAAAATCAAGCAAACAAACCAGAAAATGTCATGTTATTTGTCTGTAAATGCCAGCAGAGAAACATTTATTTACACTATTTACATTGTTCGGACTGTTGCCCTCAT